CGCCTCTCGAGTGGTTAATTAAACGAGTCCTCACACACGACGCTTGGTTTACCATAAACAATGTGATTAAAGCGGCCGTGGGCCAGCCAGAGTGTAGAGAGAAAGAAGAAGAAGAAAAATACTCAGATCACCATGGAGATGTGTGAGGGAAGAAGAGGTCTGAATACAGACAGGGATGTCATTATTACTTTTTTTATTCATCATTTTCATAATGACTGTCATTATGCGCAGGCCCTGATTGAATTCCATTTTGTTAGTCAGGTTTGTGGCGGGCAGAATAATTATCACTTAAGCGGTATTAACATTCGCGCTAAACATTGTCATGGTCAGAGCCTTGACATGTTCGGCAGGAAAGAAAGGGGACTGGCTCGTCTTTTGATTATGACAGAAGAGAAGAAAAATAAATGTTTTCTACTTCTGACTGATTAGAAAAGGGACAGCAGTATTGCGGACGCTTGGAAGCTCTGTTTAACAAGCATTATTTCCTTCTGCGTGTCCCGTCTCGTAACTAGGAGTGGGAATATCGAACATAAGTGTCACACAGATGCATTGCGTTATTGTTTTGGCTCGATTACTTGTATTATATTCATAATCAACATAACCACCAGCTTCATTTGGTCCGCATGCGACATTCAAATGCAGTCATCAACTCATATATAAAAGCGGTGATTACATCATGAGTGTAATCACCAGCGGACTCGTTCATTTACAGCATGTGGAGTGTAAGAATTGATTAAATCTGTGCAGTCATTAAAGTGTTTTTTTTTCTAAGCAAGATGGAGGATAATGTGGATGTTAAGCTGTGAGGAGACTCGTCTCTGAGTGTCTGTTCTTCCTCTCTGGGTCCGACAGACGGATCCTCCAGCGAGCTCCGGTGGGAATCAGATCACGTTTTGGAAATATAATCATATCAATCCTTACACATGTTACAGTCTGATGACATGACGTTTCATCATAACGCTACACTGATCTACTCTTTCCCTATGGATGCTGTTGAAGTATATATACTTATATATATATATATATATATATATATATTATATATATTAATATATGTAAGATATGACTTAATATTAAAACCAGTCAAATTGAATGAATTTTAAGTAGTTTAAAGTATGTCCACCTCAACCAGCAACGCTATTAGAATGCTACTTAGATGTGCATTAGTAATAATCTTAATTTATGATAAAAATATAACAATGACAGAAGCCATCCATAATGGTATTTATGGATAATCATAATGCCATCTTTCCTACTGATACCTGATACTTGAATGCACGACTTTTCCTTGTAATGGAGTATTTCTACAATGTGGTATTACTCATTTTACTATATAAAATAAATGTATTTTTTTTTTTCTTTTTCGGAAGCTATATATTGTTTGGAAAATATATATATATATTTGCTTTTTTTTTTTTACACAGCAGCACTACCCCTCTTAAAAATCCCAAATAAAGTCTAATTTGTGGATTAATATTAATGGGGTTTTGTTCATGAGAGCCTCAACAGGTCGACCTCTTGTGCATCTAATTGACCCCAAACACAAGCACTGTTACTCTGTAGGAGAACACACAAAGGGAACATTTTTTGTAATTTTTAATTTCACAACACGAGGCTATTTATCTTGCGATTGATCCGGCGTGAGTAATTGGATTCTCATCAGTACGGGGAAACCTGACTCGCTGCGGAGTTGATGTAGCGACACGCATGCACTCCCACGCGGAAGAACTCTGTTTCTCATCTCTCTCTCTCTCTCTCTCTCTCTCTCTCTCTCTCTCTCTCTCTCTCTCTGCCTCACACAGCAGCGGCCGGGCCTTCAGCCTACCAATGCGTTCAGTGAGGGGGATTTGGCCGGGGCTCCAATCAATCACTGACAGATTACCTCCAAAGCCACTTCCACAGCCATTAAAGCAGGACAAATGCAGAATTGCAACTGAACAAGTTGGAGTTTTTAAGCCAACACCAGGACTTCCTGGTTATTTGTCAAAGTCACTGCCGCTGAGCCGCATGAGTGGCTGCGCAAGAGTGTGTGTGGGGGCTCGGAGACGTTTCGCAGCGTGTGTGTGTGGGGGCTCGGAGACGTTTTGCAGCGTGTGTGTGTGTGTCGGGGAGACTGAGGGAGAGAGCAAGAGACAGTAACAGAGTGAGTGAGTTATTGTTAGTGTGTGTGTGTTTTTATGCTCTCAGGTGTGTGTGTGTGTGTGTGTGTGTGTGTGCGTGTGCGTGTACACACACGCCGCCGGCTGCGTCGCTCTCGGCCCAGTGGAGCTTACAGTAAATCGCATTCCCCTTTATTGCCAAATTTAGCAGCTTATGCTCAATAGGCTCTGCTCAAATCTGCGCCGCGTCCCATCGGGGCGTTAGCCCGGGCTTCGTAAAAGTGGATTGGCCACACACACACACACACACACACACACACGTACGACTCATCCTCCCTTCTATTTTCCTACGTTCTACGTCCTCTCTTCTTTATCTCGGGCGGCTGGAAACACTATCTGGGCTTTTCTAATCTCCCGTTCTCCTCCCTCTGGATTTCCTGCTTGGAGACTCCCCGCCATTGTCCCCCATTCACTGGGGCTTTGTTTATACCGGGGCATATTTGATAGAAGACACTAAGCAATTGTATATCATCATTTTTAAACGCCTGTATCACCAGGGGAACATAATCTCTCTCTAAACGCAGTTTATAAAGAATGGACTTTTTTTTTTTTTTTATCCTATAAGCTTTCTTCTTCATCCAAATTGATTCTGACACCGTTTCGTCGTCGCAGACGCGGCGGGGTTAAGTGCTGATAATTATTTGGGAGAGATCAATCAAAATATGAAATGTGTCTAGAGGAGGTGGCATCAAAGCACCGGGGGTTGTGTTGCATGTTTTCCCTCTAATACCGCGAATATGGAACATTTGCAGCGGAGGTTTGATTAGTGTGACGTTCAACGGCGGTCCTTTGATTGGGCACTGATTGTGGGGGGGGGGGCGCCTTTTGTTTTTGCCTCGTGTTGAAGAGTATATCAATTACAGCGGTGATTTAATGAATAACACATGAGGAATCTATTCTTTTATTGAGTGTGTGGAGGGCTGAAATAGTGAGGGCCGACGCTGAAGTCCTGCAGGCATTGGAGTTGAAATTTAGCTGGTCATGTGACTATGACTCCCCCCCCCCTCCCCTCCCCCCACATGACCCCCGAAAGAGAGAAGGGAGGGAGAAAAAAAAACACACACACACCCATACCAACACAGGAGGTCGGGATTGTATTCGTAGGTGTGTGGATTCTTTTGTGCATTTCTGCTTGCGTGGGTGTCCACGTGTAGTGCATACGTGTGCTTCTCACCCCCCCCCTCCACAACTCCCATTCAATTAAGAGCTTAAGCTCATTAGTGGCAGACTTACATCATTACCTCTCCAATGGCTAATGAGTTAAAAATCTATTTAGATTTATGTCGCTGTTAAATCCCCCCCCCCCCCCCACACACACACACACAGACACTGTTTATCACAAATCAGAAAATATGTCACACACACATTCAGTCTGAAAGTGTTGCGATTACCTACATCGACGTGTGGCCTTTTAATAGCAACACTGCATATTCAACACACTCGAGTTATACCTTTGGCTCCGCTATGTAAATCAGAGAGGAGAGACAGAGCCTCTGCACGCCGCAAAGCTCTGTTTTTACACATTAAAAGACGCTAATTCAAGGCTTTGTCTAATTACTAACTAATAATTAGCACCGCGTAACATAAAGAAGAAAAAGAAGAGAGATTTCTTTTTACGCAGCGAGTAGTTGAGTTTTCAATCCATTTAACGTCCCGCTAACAAAACCTTGATTGCACTGCGGGCGTGACAAATTTGTAATGAATTGATGGAATTGTAAGAAAAGACAATTAATTACAGACGATGGGGGGGGGGGGGGGGGGGGGGGGGGGGG